GGGATTGGCCCAATTCAATGTAAGCCTTTTGTGGCATAATAATGAAGAGCAAAGTCCCACATCGGGGAGAAACAATGAGATTGAGTTGTATATATATGCACTCTCACTCTCACTTAATTAAAGAACTCAGAGAAAGAAAGGGATCTCCACGCGCGCGCCGCCGCCGCCGTCCGGCCGGCTCGGCTCGGCTCGGCTCGGCTCGGCGTGGGCTTGGGCTTGGGCTTGGGCTTGGGCTTTATTGGAGGGCCTTTGGCCCGATAAGAAGTTATCTTTTTGGACCAAATGAAGCTCAACGCCTTGCCATTTAAACTTCAAAAACAGCATGCAATTTTATTTAAAACGACAAGTAGTTTGTCTAACAAATAAAAAACGTCACGCAGTTTATCCTCTCAGATATTTAAACGAGAAAAGAGAGAGTCTTGCGGAAAAAGATTTCGCTACTCAACTTCCCTCGATCTCCGCGAGATTCTCGCCCACGTGCAGCAGTTGTTGCGGGAAGTGGCTCTCGTTTTTCTCTTTAAATAAACTCGCTTCTCTTCTTCATTGATCAATCGTTTTCAACACAGAAAAAATCCAGCAATCTCTCAGCGTAAGTTTTTCAGAGAGTGTTCATAGAATTTAGTTCGTTAGGTCGTTTCACGAGTGCAGCGTGATTCGTCTGCCATGGTTGTATCCTGGGACTCTATATTCGTACAGTTTCGTCTCACTACGGAGCGAATATTAAGAGTTAAGGAAAGAGATTTATCTCGCCTCCGTGTTTCATATAATCGTTTCTTTCCTTAACTCCGTCGTTCTTATATCGTTTAAGTCGATCCGGTTTTCCGGCCTCTACATCTACAAGAAGAGTATCAATATCTGTGAGCAAGTCACATACGATCATGGTATGGTTGATATACTGTATTTTCAATAACTTCTGCACAACATGACTTCCATATTTGTTACGGGAGAGGCGCGCGTAGTTCCTGTGCAGCTGTTGCACGAGCGCAATGGTTACGTTTGGATCATTCAGCTCGATTACATACTGCACCACGTAGTTTCTGAAGGAGAACATAATACTTTGTGAGTAACAAATGGAGATATAAGAATACGATTGTATGTATCGTTCATCATTTAATCTCATGTTTACCCGAAGTTGTTCTCGCAGAGTCTCAAAGCATTAGCTATTATCTCACAAAGCAATCGTGACTTTAGCACCTCACAACCAGTACCAAGACATTGCTGAACCATGCAGCAACCATGTTGATCAATTGCTAACTCGACACAGTTCTGAGCTAAGACTTCAATAAGATTCTGTCAAGAAGAAACAACACAGTGAGTAGAAGAAAGAGTGTCACATTCCAAGACTAAACCTATTTGGAAACAAATGGTTCAGAGTCTATCATGGCTTATTAACTTGTATCACAAGCAATAAGATTACCAAGTTTAAACCTGCTACAGAACATACCATACAGAGACTAGAATATATTTTCCATGTCATACGACTCTAAAAAATCATGAACTGAATAAAACAGACACTTCATAACTAATGATGAAACTTGAAACATCAAACTGATTCATTTACTTTCGAGTTGCTACAGTAGAGTTCTTCAACTATGTATGAAAGTGACTTCCTATTTCGAAAAAAGACAGCCTTTTTAAGAAAAAAATAACAAAACTGACTCCACGGCCATAAACAAAGATTCAGCACACATGGTATATACCTTCTACTAACCAACTTAACAATGAGATTATATTCCAATAACTAACAAAGACCCAAAACATGTTCAAGAACAGAACCAGAGTACTGTGGATGAGATGCTTACCCGATTCAGCGAGAGAGGAAACTGGTTCAAGCATTGCATAATCACATGTTTAGCCCCGTTGTTCCTAAAAAATGTAAGTGCCCCCATGCTTACAGCTCGGACTACTCGCAGAATTTGTTCTTCAGAACGAAGAAACCTCAACAGCAACTGTATCAAACGGGTCCTGATAATGACAAAACAAAAACAAACAAAGTCACAAAATAAAACAAACACCGGTTACAAGCATAATCGATCTGTCTTCATCCTTAAATCAAAACTACATTAAAAAAAAAAAAATCAAAACATATATATACAAAGGACCAGAAGTGTGTTTTACCCGACAGGATCAATGCACAATTTAACAAATCCAAACTGGTGTTGAGTGATCTCATCGACAATCTCAGTGATCTGTTGAGAGCTACACTTGTACATAAGCTTCTGAAGGACTTGAGAAGCAGTATGGTCTACCATCAACTCATGGATGCTAGAGATAACGCCCTTGAAGATCACATCAATGGTCTCCGTGGAACATTCATCGATCTTCTTCTGCAACAAAAGGCTTGACTCTGGATCCCTAGCAATCAAAGCAATGGGTCCCATCTGAGACAGAGACGCCTGGTTCACGAAACCAAACCCATTGTTGCGACCTCTTGACAAGTAATTAGGAACACCACTACTTTGCAAGTAGTGATTCATCCTCATCATCTGTTGAAAATCTGTTTCACGCTGAGGAGGAGGAGGAGGAGGAGGAGGAAGAGACCAACCACCACCAACATATCCGCCGCCATTGATCCCTTGATTTGACGACCGATTGGTCCAACCGTTGTCGGGTAACGGATTCTGCTGACCAAGGGAGAGCATAGCAAAAGAGGATTCTAGGGTTTGGAGATTACCATCATTGGGGAATCGAAACAGCTGTTCGTCGAGAGCTTTGTCATGAGTGTCGGGTTGGAACTGAGACGCAGCTCGTTGATACATCACCGCCGGATTCTCCTCCGTCATCGCATATCCGTCACGTTCGCCGTTTGAGTTGAAGCGAGATGATTCCATGACTAGGAAAAGAAGCTGAGGAGAAAAATCAAAAAAAAAAATTAGGAGAAATTATATTAGAGAGAAAAAAAGGAGAAAGAGACCTTTTTCTCTGGGTTTGTGGAGATTTAATACGAATGTAAATCTATATATATATACAAAGAGAGAGGATTTAAGGTATTAATGGAGAAAGAGTGATTAAGGTTATTAAGAGAGATTTAATTTCAGAAAGATATTGAATTAATTAAATGTATCAAACAAGGAAATGCTAAGAGGTTGAATAACGTTTCACCTCTTCTGAAATTTTCTTTCTGTATTATTTCTTCTTCTATGCTAACTTTGCCATGCACATTAAATATTCACGAATATATTCCTAAAAGGCAAATAGACTCAGTACAGTCAAAGTCTTATAGTGTTGCACTTCAACGGAAGACTCGCGTGGACCCCACGAGTTCCCTTCTCATTGGTTATAAAATATTTTGTTTTTTTTTTTTCTTTTGATAATGACGTGTACCAAAAAATTTGATGTTGTAAATGATTTTAGATAACGAGGACTAAACAAAAGATCTGTTAAATTTTGATTTTATCTGTTTTATGTTTTGATTCTAACCGAAAAAATCTGAATAACCATAACTCTACCTATAAAGCAAATACAATATATAATATCCGTAAGGAATAAATCAAATCACAAATACTAATATTTTTATAAATAGATATCTGATATAATTTGTTATATAATACATATATACATATATTTTGTTTATATGTTACTATTTTTATGAATGGATAGCCGGTCCTCCCAGGTCCAAATGGATTCGGTTCTAATGTATAATAAGCTAAAAATAATCAAATAACCAATATATCTTAAATGAATTTGGTTATTTGTACCCAAAATAAACATATTATCCGATTTGATTCTATATTTTTGTATCCAAACTACATATATTATCTTAGATATTACCAGATCTGTTTTATGATAATATTTTTATGAACGGATACCCGGTCCTTCCGGCTCCGGATAGATTCGGTTCTAACGTTTAAGAACTTGAAAATAAAGAAATAACCAATGTATCCGAAATGGTTTGGTTATTTGTACCTAAAGTAATCAAATGACCGATTTTGTTATGATATATTGTATCCAAACTATCTATTTTACCTACAAATAACCAAAAATCTCGTTAGACACGTTTTTTGCGTATTTTCTATCAAAATTATCATATTTTATCTAAAAATACACAAAATATCAATATAACTAATATATTTAATTTATAATTTTAATTTTAAATTATTAAAATAATTATGTGTATAATTATAAATTAGATGTTTTGTGTGCATTTGCGGACCTAAACATTTTATAATTACTTATTAATGAGTGTATTACTAATGAAAATTAATAATAATAAATTATTATTTATATTTTCATTAAAAAGTTCTTACGTAATATAATTTCTTTGAAAATTTAGTTGTATATTATTAATAAATAATCTTTAAAATCACTCAATATTATCATTTCAATCATATAAAATTAATAATTTTACTTGATTAATATTTAGTTATTTATTTAATGTCTTTAAATTTGTTTATTAACATATATTTTCATATAATGACACTTAGGGCTAGGCAAAGTACCTAGACCCGAAGAACCAACCGGAAACCGACCCGAAAATCAGGGTCTCAAACCCGATCGGATCCGGGATAAATAACCGAAATTGTCCTAAATTGCTATATCCGAAGAACATATACCAAACTCTACCCAAACCGAGAACCGAATGAGTATCCGAAAATATCAGAAATGTAACTATATATCTGAAAATATTATCTACACTATTATTATAGAAGTAAATTTGCTTAGTTGTCATGTTCTCCATAAATTAGGTTGTTTTGCTTATTTGTCATGTTTTTATAACTTTGGATTATGATTAAATATTACTCTTAATATATAATTAGTCTTAATTAAAAAAATTATTGATTGGATGATTATCATTATCTAAAAATGTTGTTATTAATTAACCATAAACTCAAAGTAAATTAATATATAGTTGACAATTAATTAAAATGAATTTCATTGATTAGGTAATTATCGATATCTAAAATAATTTATATTCTGTTATAAAGTCTTTATTAACACTAATGAACAATTTTATTTGTTAATATATAATTAAGCATAAATTAAAATAAATTTCATTCATTTGATAATAATCATTGTATAAAAATATTTTATGTTGTTTTATTTATACTATTATTTACGAAGTAATTTTTTGCATCCAAGTTCTTACATTATAAGTTAAAACGGTTGTATCTTTTATACCCTTGATGAATAAAATATATAAATAACCCAAAAATAAAAAAATAATTTATATTTAATTTTATCTATCTATACTATTATTTGAGAATTGTAGCGTTAATATCACGTATACCCTTAATGAATAAAAAATATATATAACCCAAAAAAACTAAATATTATTTTATTAGATAAGAGGTTATAATTCATAATAATAAGAAGTATCCAAAATATAATAAACTATATTTTAAAATAAAAAGATAGTTCATGTATATATAGTGTCATTATCTGAAAATATATGTTAATAAAAATACAAATTTAAAGACATTAAGCAAATAAATAAATATTACTCAAGTAAATTTATTAATTTTATATAACTGAAATGATAGTATTGAATGATTTTAAAATTTATTTATTAATAATGAATATAATATACAATTAAAATTTCAAAATAATTATATTAAATAAGAACTTTTAAATGAAAAGATAAATATTAATTTTTCATTAATAATATATCCATTAATAAGTAATTAAGAAACTTTTTGGCCCGCAACTGCGGACAAAACATCTAGTTTATAATTATACTTATAATTATTTTAGTAATTTAAAATTATATTTATAAATTAATATGTTAGTTATTTTGGTATTTTTGAGTATTTTTAGATAAAATGTGAACTTTCTGATAGAAATTACTCAAAGAAAACTGTGTTTAACGAGTATTTTTTGTTATTTTTTGGGTAAATCATTAGTTTGGATACAAAATATCTGAACTAAATCGAGTAATATGGTTACTTTTGATATAAATAACGAAACTCGTTTCAGATACATAGGTTATTTTCAGGTTCCTATACATTAGAACCGAACCCACCCGGACCGACCCGAAAATATATAATACCCGATTGGGTCCTGATTTCAAAACCAAAAAACCCGATTCTCGAAAGAACCGATATGTACCCACTAAGGCCTAATGACACTATATATGCATGAATTATCTTTTTTTTTTTAATATCTTTTTTTAGATTTTGGATAATTCTTATTATTATGAATTTTAATCACTTATCTTATAAAATAAAATTTAAATTTGTTTTTATTTTTGGGTTATTTATATATTTTATTCATTAAGGGTATAAACTACATTAACCGCTCTAACTTTTAATGTGAGAGATCGGATGAGAAAAATCACTTCGCAAATAATAGTATAGATAATTAAAATTAAATTGAACTTCATTTTAATTTGTGGGTTATTTATATATTTTAATAATTAATGGTATAAACGATACTAACCGTTTTAACCTTCAGTGTGAGAACTTCGATGTAAAATTTTTTTCCGCAAATAATAGTATAAATAACACAACACAAAGTATTTTTTATACAATGATGATTATCAAATCAATGATTTTTTTTTAATTTATGGTTAATTATATATTAAAAATATAATTGTTCATTAGTGTTAACAAATATTTTATAACACAATATAAATTATTTTAGATAATGATCCAAATCAATGGAATTTAATTTTAATTAATTTCCAACTATTAATTAATTTTCTTTAAGTTTATGGTTAATTAATAACAATATTTTTAGATAATGATAATCATCCAATCAATGATTTTTTAATTAATATTAATTATATATTAATTCATTTTAATTTATATTTAATTATATATTAATAAATCCAATTATTTATTAAAAGTGATAATTAATCATAATCCAAAATTATAAAATACATGACAAATAAGTAAAACAACCTAAATTAATGGAGAACATGACAATTACACAAATTTACTTCTCAAATAATAACTATAGATAATATTTTCAGATATATATTTACATTTCAGACATTTTCGGATACTCATTCGGTTCTCGGTTTAGGTCGGGTTCAGAACAGGTTCTTCGGATATAGCAATTTAGGACTCATTCAGTTATTTACTGTGGCTCTGATTGGGTTCGAGACCCTGATTTTCAGGTCGGTCCTTCGGGTCAAGATATTTTGCCCAGGCCTACGTGGTTTTACATCTTCAAATATTAAAAGATCATATTTGAAGATTTTTGAGTTGAGTTTTATAATCACCATAAAACCCAATCAGGTTGAAGTTCAATATTCAAAGTTATAATTGATGCAATGTGAGCATATATTATTTGAAATTTTGGCTGCGTTGTTATTTTGGTACATTTTTAGTCATTCTAGTTATTAGTGTTCAGTGTAAATGATTTGGGCACTGGTAATGAAGCTATTGGAATCGAGTTTATTCTCTAAAGCTACGGTTAGTATCGAACCATTTAATTGGGATTTCGACTGGAAAATCATCTTTTGAACATAGTGAGATAGTTCACTTGAGAATTATTAATATGTTGTTATGTAATTCCCTCACTCCGAGATGGGTTCATCTGGCTGGGCATTGGGACACAGAATGCAGATGATTTGTTCGAGGAAAAGCAAAATGACATTCTATGACCTATATAGGGTGGAGCCTGGATGGAAATGATTTAGCTGGGAAACATGTGTAAATCACCACTGAATTCAAGGACTAAGTGGTCGAGACTTGTAACATCCTGATTCGTGAATGTTGCACAGGCCTATTTGTCTCAAGAAAACATGAATGACCGAGAATAATTTATGATGAAGGGAGGACTGGCCGGCTTTCGCGACAGAGATCGAGGTGTTTCAGCGACTACGTGAGGATTTCGAGGATGTGAGTCTGCCTCATATTCCGCGGAGTAGAAATGTACGAGCGGATGC